ACGCCGGCGTCCGTGCAATGTTGGATCCGCGCCGCGTTGTGTGGACCGACCTTCACCTTGACCAATCCATTTAGTTGGGGCTTTGTGGTGTCCCACGACAAGTCCGGCTTCCGTTTATAATACTTTCCCCAGTCGACCATGGGAGCCGGGTCAGTGTCGCGTTTGATTAAATCCTTGGGGTTCATTGTGCCGTGCATACCAATGCTTTGAATGAATTGGCTCTTAGCCCTACTGGCAGGATCCGTGAAAGGATTGATTATGTCCTCGGTCTCATCGGGAGGTGGAGTGACTCTCAGGTTTTCTTTCCATTCGAACTCATCGGGCTCATGGGAGTGCTCCCCGGATTCTCGCAGCACCACCAGGCTGTCTCCCCAATCGCCAGCATATCTTCGAGGTAGCCCGTGCTGATGCAAGAACTGTCTGGCTTTCAAGAACTCGTGAGATTGACACATCAAGAGGTCCGTGTAGCCGGTGACCAACAGGTTCTGATGGGCCTCTCGGGTGATCCTTTTCAGCACCAACTGAGGCGGCGGCTTGAAAAGCTTCAAGTCGCTGTTATCAATTCTCATAAGCGCCCTGCGCTGTTTGCGCCGCATTTTCTCCAGTATTTCGTTCTCCCTTTCGATCTGTTTATTGCGAATGCCTATGTTAATCATGAGCTGCCTTCGTTCGTCTAGCCCAAGCCCAAGAAGGTCGCAAACACGTCTCCAGCTATGAAACTTCATTATGTTTTCGATGATCTCGACTTGCATAGCCTTGTGCAGATCACCCCATTTTGGGTTCGGGATCTAAAACGACACACATTAGTCTCGTTCGATTGTACTAACACAGCAAAAGCCACGATATACTTACCGTATCAAGGAGCACCTGAGTCGCATCTGGCAGTGGGTCGTCATCACTGTCCGGGGAGGTGGCCATGTCCATGTCCTCGGAACCCGGAAAGGCATCCACACTCATGCGCGCCAAGTTCACGTTCCTCGCATACACCGGGTTGTCCATGTTGTTACTGGCGAGGTGATTATCGATCTCGTCCATCGAGAGTTGTTCAATCTCAGACGGAGGCGACGGGACGGTTGGCGCCGACCTATCATTGCGGAAAGCAGGTGTAGCTTTGCTCGCCTGCACGTTCTGCTGGCTGTTGCCAACACCGCGATTCCGCGCCGAGACGGTGGAGCCACGACCTGGCTGTGGTATGTTCAAAGTGGGAAACGCAGCGGGTGGCAGGTTGGGGTTGAATGGCACAGTGTTTGGCCTGCGCCCCTGTTGTGGGCGCGGTTTACCTGTTTCCCCAAGCTCCATCGAGTCGTCAACGGAGTCATCGCATCCCTGGCGCAGCGAGACCCGCGATGCTTCGTATTCGTCCTCGCCATATCGCACTGGCGCGCGGATACTGTCGCGCAGTCGCATTCTGCTCATTTTGGCGGCACGTTGGGGCGAGGAGCGAGGTGGAGGACGAGGTGTGATGCGATTGATGGTTAGTGGGGGTGTATCGATGGTAGGTACGTGCTAAAGGTCAATGTGAAGCATGCACTTCATCGTAGGATGCGATGGGTGATCGTGGTGGGATGGTCGTGAGATGGAAAGGTTGTCGCGCGAGATGAAAGAAGAGAGAATAAGGGAGGATTGGGATGGCTTTGAAGTCGCGCAAAATCAGTGCGAGACTCGAGCTCTCAGATTGAAAGGAAAACACAAGGTAGGGGCAAATTGAGTCGAGAATCGACAAGGTGACTTCAAACGCTGGGTCAGATGCTTGAGGGCAATCAACTTCCGCGTGTCTTGAGACTTGCCAGATTTTGATATTGACCCCATCATTGATTTTTCTACACAAACTGTAGACGCTTGCTAGACTGAAGTCTTGCCATGCGTATGCTCTTACGAATATAAAAATAGTTATAAGGATGCAATGGCCAGTGAATGACCTGGATGTCGGAAAAATAGTAGAATGAGCAACTGCAACTGGGTATTTGCACACAAGAACCATGAAGCAATAAAGCAGACAATAAAGCAGACATAAAAAGAAAAGCAGATACCCACCCTACTCTACACAATGTAAAGGATTCCCTTCATTCCCTTTCATCTTTCAGCGTATCCATCTCCCTCCCCATCTCCATGAATGACAGTGCCATTCACACCCCAAAGATACTCGAAACAAACAACCTCGGCTCACCCTAGACCACGCGGTCCTGGAAGGGAGCATTCGGCTTTCGGTCATAGAAGGCGTCCTCATCCTCATCCATATCCATTTCACCCTCATCCATGGCAATATCATCATCTCTCTGATCGTGGAAGCTTCGCTTCTTTGTAAGCGTTGGTGACAGAGACGGCGGCGCAAGACTCGCAGCTCCATGAACAGTCATTTTTTTAGCACGCTCAACATCACGCTTAGCAGCAAGAATGGTCTCGAAAGTAGCGAGGATGTATTTCATATTTTCCTCAATTGAAACACAGAAACGACGCGCCTGAATCATGTGCGTGGCTTCGACAGACAGAACATTGAGCATAGCCATGATGTAGGCAATGACGACAGCAGCGGAGCGTTCATTCCCGGATTCACAGAAGACGAGGACTTTCCTTTTCGGATAGCTGGCTGACCCCGTTCCATTGGGTCCTACATCCACACCAGCCAGGTGATCATTGATGCGGCGGATAGCGCGTGGGAATGCAGAAATGAGCTCTTGGTTATCAAGAACATCAATCGTGTCTGCCATGATACCGACCATGGCGGCCGCCTTCTCGCCTGAGACGAGGCGTGCGTGAGCCGAGTACCGGTTTCGAATAGCAAGAATTAGTGTGAACTCTTGGTTGCGGATGTATTCTGGATCACGTAGACATGATGAAGGACCAAGAGATAAGAATGGAAGGATGGACTGGGCCTGGCGACGCATATCGTATTTCCATTGAGAGGGGTTGAAGCGGCGGGTGAACCCACCTAGATCGACGAGGTTGAAGAATCCTGGGCAAACAAAGTCGCCCTCTGCAAACTCGTGGGATTCGCGGTCTAAAATTTTCTGGTCGACGATTACAGTGTCATCGTCAATCATGTCTGGTCCCCCGTAGAAGCCATGCCCAATAGGTCTAGTCACAGTTGGGTATCGCGGCGTAGCTGCGTACTCTTGTGTGCGAACATAAAGAGACTGTTCATCTTGGGACATAGGCACTCTCTGTGAATCACCGCCATTAGACATTGTGTTTAACGGGAGTTTCACTATGACACGTGTAGACCGAGTATCAAGTGCTGCTGGATTGGTTTATTGACGTGAATGATCAATTCGTGATTTCAAGCAGAGAAAAGGCATACAATTCAATCGACGTCACTCAGAGTGTAGGAAACACTGGTAGTGGAGACGCAAAGAATGAAAGCGACAAGTTGAACAACCCTAGCAGAGTCGCTGGAAGTGATTTTAGGCGCTCAGTTTGAAGCCAAAGAGCAGGATCTGAAAATAGCAGTTCAACGGCTTCAACTGGTTGAATGATGAATGCGTTGAATAGCTTCAAGATGGTTGCAGATCCGACATCACTATGGGGGGAGAGCTCAGGTCCACCCGTGGACAAGCTCTCCCGCGCGTGGAGCTTAGGTAAGACGGTGGATGCATCCAGGGTTGAGGCCTGTGCCTGGGCACTCCTCTCATATATTGACTCTTTGCCATAGCATTTGAGACTTCGAGGTGGTGATCATTTGTGCGAACTTTTAAGTCATGGGGGTCGCCAAAACCTAGGGAAAAACATGGAAGTCCGAATAGCCTCGCATTCCGGTCCTGGGATGACATTGCAAGCTCGCCAATGACCTCTCAGCCAGGTCGCATGATCATACAGAACGTTGCAAAGCTAACAGATGAAGATGCCTAGGTGAATCGAACAACTGAGATGGTTAGTAAATGAACTGTGAGCTCGTTCACCGCCCGGTTTTTCCAGCCTTTACTAGAAACTCGACTATAGCACAAAGCTCTGGAACAGATCTTCTAGCTTTGAATCAGATCAGATCATCGGCTTCTATATTTAACTCCATGAACTTCTACAAGGATACTTTATACTCCTACGAGGGATAAGTCGCCAGATAACTAATCAGATCCTTTAGAAATGGACTATCACGACAATGTGCCTATCTGCTCGAAAGTGAGTTAAATGTGTTCCATTCAATTTATTGTGCACAAACTGTGTCCTTTGAAGGGCTCAGATCATTGCTAGGAGGGATATACATGGATATAGGGGTACAACACATATAAAAAATCACAGCATCATCTCTTTGTATATATGTCGTCACATCCTTCCGATCATGTAGTGGTTTCCATTTATATCTTTGGAGTTTAGGGCTACGTGTGCTTTGCAACATTTCAAATGGTCCTAAAACCAAATCTACAAAATAAACATCCAATCTTACGAAATCTATGACATATAATTGAAGAGAGTGTTTCATTATCCGCGATTTGTGTAATCGGACAGAGACAAATTCTTGACGAATGCCACACCTGAACAGTGGAAGACACGAAAGCCACACAATAGATACACAGATAGCCATGTCCTAGATATGGAAAAAGAAGGACCCAATGGATGTTCCAACGGGGACGAATGATATCCCAGGCCAAGACCCTTGAGCAAAAGAAACAAAATGGTAAGAAAAAAGTCCTGAGAGGAGCAACGATCGTAGAGAAAGTCAATAAATCCGTGCGTCACCCACACCGGAACATAAGGATTGACAAGAAAAGAATAGATCATACTCAAGACACATACATCTTGAGAGGCAAGGAAATTCGTAATGAGCGTCTAGGTGGAGGACGCAGAAATAGAACCGCCAATGAAGATGAAGAAAAAGAATCCACAGTAAAGCTGAACCGAATAAAATATGTACAAATCGGGTGAAAGAAGACGCCCACGCTGTCGCAAGCGGGCAAGGAAGAAAAAGGGAGTGAAGTGATGTCTCAAAAATAATTGCCAGGATGTCGCTATGCCGAGGTTGCGCCGTAAATCGAAAAAAAATATCAAAACCAATACGCATCGCGCGCCTATGACTGCGACCGTTCGTTTGCTGGTGCCGCCTCATTGGATGACTTTTCTTTGTCCTTAGGTTTCCAGAAGTGCATCATTCGGCTGAGACGGCGGCCCTTCTTCTTCGTTTTGTCGGACGAGTTGCTAGGGGGTTTCTCCTCCTGATTGAGCTTACTCCGCTCCGAATGGGGACCGACGACCAGCTTGGAAAGGCTAGCTAGGCTAGAGCGTTTTGAGGCATTAGCCTGGCTGGTGCGTCGGGTACCGGAAGCTGAGAATGACGCTGCGCGGTCATCAGAAAGACGCCCACGGGGAAAGAAAGAAGCCGCCGAGAAACGATTCAAAGTGTTGGTCATGGTAGATGCACTACTGGTCAAAGATGGAACATCTTCAACCGATGCGTAAGGATGTTCAGCCGAAGGAAGCTGATGATATGAGTGGCTGGAAAAGTTCCGGTCAGTTGAGGATGCCGCAATTGACCGCGAAGCATCTGGAGACGGGAAAGATGAGTCAGACGGCGAAATCCCTGGTTGTAATGAGAAAGGTGGAATGCTAGGCAGCAACTCCATGGGTGAGGTTGCTGGTCGCTTGTCGACAGCTAGGAATCGAGGAGAAATGTCGGGACTTGGGGGTCCAATCAATTTATGCCCAGATTCTTCCATCTTTAGAATTTCCACGGGGGTTCGAGGCTTGCTGGCGAAAGGATTGCTGGCATTGTGTACCTGCTCGAGGACACTTCTGTCATCCAGTTGTTCCTGGCTCAGATGTTTATCGCCTTGTCGAATGCCTAAGCCATCATTCTGAGAGGAGACGCTACCGGTGGGGGGACGAGTCAGAGTATCACTACTGCCAGAGGTAGCGTTGCTGTGAATAGATTTCGAATCGTCCTCCGATGATGAGAAAACTGCGTTGTCGATCGGTGACGCGTTCACCGGAAGCCGCTCGCCCTTGGGCGATTGGGAAGCAGCCAAGAAAGCATCCTCTTCCTCCTCGTCAAATACATCGGGCGTTTCGACCGCCGGAGTCGGACCCAGACGGAATGCGCCGAGAGCAGTGCGGTCAAATGGTTGAAGCGCCGGTGCACTTTCTGTGCGCCGATGGTACCGCATCTCTGGGCCGACAAATTCACCTCGTCTTCCGCCACTGTACATCCGCTGAGTCGCAACTGAGAAGTTGTTGTTGGGCGCACCCTGAGTAGTTTGTCGCATATCTGGAGTGTTGAAAGGACCAAGCGCAGCATCGAGGTCGATGACAGGGCTACTTAGTACATTGTCGTGGGAGCCAACATCCTGTTCATAGAAACTCCTCGGTTTCCATGAGCTCTCTAGAGATTGCGCAGGCAAAGAACAACCATCGGTATCATTATTTTGAATGGGTTGAAGCGCAGAAGAAGGCATCGTTGGATTGGTCGGAGTCCGGATGACAACGACGTCATTATCAAAATCAACATCTAAAACCGATCCAGTGCCCGAGACGGTCCGAGTAAGAGCAGGTGGACGAGGTGCAGGAGCGCGAGGTACAGGCGGCTCCTCCTCTGTGTGAACCTTTGGATGGCGCTTACCCTTACCCTTGCTCTTGGATCGAGTCAGAATGTGACCGGCCCAAGAGCGAACCCGTTTCTGCTTCTTCTTTTTCGACTTGACAGGGGATTTGTTGTCGGACGAATGCTCGGTTGCTTCATCGCCAGATGTGTCGGAACCAGTGTCAGAAAATGAAGGCCGGTAGAGGTCTGCGGATTGAATATCATCGGGCGAGAGGGTAGAATCGAGATGCGGTGTTGATTTGCTCTTTCGAGAGCGGGAGTGCCCAGCGGCTGAGTGCGAACGTTTGATAGATCCGGAGTCGTCATCCATCTGCATAAAATCCATGACAAAAGAGGCATCCGCAGTTTTTGGTCGAGGTTTTCGGTCGTAATCGGGTCTTGGCGTTACCTGATCTGAGAGAGTCGGCGTCTCCACCTGTTGCGACTTAGTTGTAGCAATATCGGAGATACCATGTGAAACGGTAGAGACTGGTCGTTCAGTATTCGAATTCTGGTTGTCCAAGGCCATTTCCACTTGAATGGAAACCGGAATGGAAGGTACAGGAGGAACGGGAGGGAATTGTGGAGACGCAGGCGGCGTGGGACGGCCGAGAGTAATAGCGGATTGAGAGAGCGGTCGCGAAGGAAGATCGGATGGAGATTGGTGGTTAGGTTCGGCGGGTGTAAAAGGCGCACTTGGTGTCCCAGAATTAGGACCAAGTGCCTTGGTGATGGCATTCAAGTCGACATTAGATATGGCGGCCGAACGGCGATGGGCATGGTTCCGTCGTCCAGGAACTCTACCAACCCCCGGTCCTGGGGGTGGAATATGTTGATCTGCCATCGAAGCCGCCCGCCTGTGACCTGGTCCAACTGATTCCGGTGTTACCAAGAAGTCTCCAACAAACTCACTCGGTCGCCGACGGTGTCCACCCGCGCGAGGATTCGATAAACAGGGCGCTGAAAGGTGTGGGGACTGCTCTTCCGATCCGGGATTAAAAGAGAATGCGGGCAATGCGGCTCGTTCCCGGCGCTCAGGGGGGTTTGATTGGGTGGGGGCATCGGGGTCCCGTGCTGGAAAAACGAATGGGGGATTAGGCAATGGTGCGTGCATGTGTTGGTGGCGATCGGGATTGTTGGAGTGGTTCGAGGTATCGAAATGAGGCGAGAAGCCCGCCTGGGACTGCGGAGGAAGTGAAATCGAAGCCATGATTCCAAGAAGAAGAAAGAAAAAAAAAACAAAAGGTGCGGCAATAAAGAAATTTAGCGGAGTGACGACGAAAGCCCAATAAGATCCAGATGGGCCCAAGACCTCCAGACCGATTTCCCTTCAGCAAGAGAAAGGCTAGGAATCTGGAGGTCAAGTTCAAGCACCTTGGAGGGTCATTGAATCCGCGCCAGGCAGAAAGGAACGAGTGAAATCAAATTGAAGCGACCACCGGTATCCAAAAGTATGGAAAATGAACGGACGGCCACGACGAAGGCCAAAGAGGGGAGGGTGGGAAAGGTGGTCGTAGAGAGGTTGAAGAGGAAGAAGCCAAAGAGAACAACAAATCCGGGAGGGGGGAAACCTAGATGCGAATCTGGAGCTGTAAGTTACTTACCATACACGGTATCACCCGTTGCCATCCGGGGGGCAAACCAATCAACGCCGATTATTGGAGCGATGAGATTACATACGAAGTTATCGTTGATGGTTAGGAGTTGCCTAGACGCAAGCCAGGGTAAATTAACCCTGCTTTAGTGATATGAAGGAATAATACAGTATGCAGGTAAGACATTTCGGTGACATCTGTCAAAAGGACAGGGCTGTCTCTGAGGAATGTAACTTTTCGCTAATAACTATAACTATTACTGTTCACTTTGAATAATATCTTCAAATCTTCAAGTAGAGGACGTCATGACTTACTCCGTAGTTGCCACCATACCCGTATCAAGTCCAAGGTTAGCGGTGCTCCCGTGAAAAGTGGTTCAACTCGCATCCACCGTACTTTATACCGTTCCTGTAATAAAGGCACCTAGGTATTTCAATCCTGGGGTCCTCAAGGCACCAATCAACAGGGCGGCGCATCCGGAGAAAAACGAAGTGGATATTGTCACTGCCAATCAGTTGGTCTAAGTGACCATCCAAATCTCGCTTGACTTGGTGGGTCCCGGATGGATAGTGCGCCACGCTGGGGGGCTGCAAGTCAAGGGGATCATATTGTCGGGGGAGCGGTGTTGATTGCCGAGCCAGGGCCGGGCCTTGAAAACGAATGCATGAACATGGATTTATTGTAGATTGTCTACCGAAGTCATATTTCCTATGCGAATGCCGGGAGATTGTCAGAGTCGAAACCGAGCTTGCACTCTCCATCGCTTGTCTTGGCTGTGGAGGCAGATCGGATATAAATAGTGGCGCCAGACATATCTTAGCGCCATTTAACAGGGGGTGAAAATTACTTCCAAGACAAACGGACAAACGGACTCCCCTGGCGCTGTGAGACATTATCCCCCCTAGCGTTCGGTGGACCAGTTTCTTTGTTTAGCCCAATAACAATGACAGCTTTGACGGGGACGGACCTGCAATTGCATCGTGGGGCTGATCATCGCGAAATCAATTGGGGCGGCTGATCCTGGCTTTGGATCTCGAAATGGCCTGCATATGCATCTATACCACGCCTTTAAAGCTGACTTGTCGAGCAGTTCGCGCTTGTTTCTCACCGTTTTTCTTGATTTTACTGCACGACGGAGTAATTTACATTCAGAAGAACTCTATATGTATAAATACATTATAAGCACCGGGACTATCACGATGATCATTGAATATTAATTTGCGCTGTGGATCTGATTCGCCATCATACAACGGCTAAGTATATATGCGAGTACGTTGCATTAATCTTAAAGTCCGGAGGTGCGGGATGCCGATATCCATATCCACGGGAAACGCATCTGCCTTCCAAGGCTCGGTGTAAAGAAAAACTCACTCGGACATACCCGAGTCGAACGATCGGAATAAATTTCATGATGTCACAGTTGGGTCTTTGTCGATACATCGAACGCTGAACCATGGAACTAATCTGGGGCAGCCCCAATTATAGGGCCGAAGTTTAAGCGCATCTACAGGGCTTGAAGCAAGTATAGCGTGTGAAAAGATTAGAAGTTTATACGTCAGAAACGCCGAATACTAATTCAATGCTGTATGCCAAAACATCCCGAAGCACACCTCCGTGGATCCATCTATGCATCACTGTCAGACTCGATCTCATCGTTCTCTAGATGCTTCTTCCGCTCCTCATTCATCTCTCTATATGTGCTGATGCTCAGCATGAAAAATGCCACCGTAATCAAGACGCCTCCAATGATCGAGGCTAGAGAAAGTGAGTTCCCAGTTCGGAACCAGTCCACCAGAGCGACGAGGAAAATAGTAAGGAGCGCGGCGACTGAGGATAGGACGGGCGATGTGAGGGAGATGAGCACAAGGAAAGAGCCCGAGAACGCTATCTTAGTGTTAGCTTCTGTGTCTGCGTTGAACGCTGATGTGGTACTTACTAGCATTGGCACCCACGGAAATGAGCAGCATCCATGCTGCTTCGCCAGTCGGCCATTCAAAAGTCTCCCATCCTGTCCAGTGAAAAAATGGTAATGGGATCCATAGTACCAACAGGGTGAAAGCCCCTATTAGACTGCCAAAAGTATTGGCAAAGATCGTACCCCGGCCAGAGCTGGTACCTTCCGGAGGACAGGCAAAGCGTTTATAGAGAACCTCGTAAAGGCCATAGAGAATACTTCCAACGCCGATAACAATGTTTCCGACCAATCGGTTCTGCCCCCCGTTGCCATCCGTGCCTCCTTTCGGGACCTTCTTATGAGGCCCATCCCCATAGGCAACGACCATGACGCCGATGGTAGCCACGGCCACGGAAAAGACCTTGTCAATTCGGAGTTTCTCCTTCAATAGCGGAATCGAAAAGGCATATGCGAAGAACGCCGAGCAGTTATAGATCGCCGTAAGGTCGCTGGGAGTGGTCATGTTGACTGCCACGTACCATGATCCTCCAGCGACGGTGAGAGCAGTGGTCACAAAGGCGGTGGTCTTCAGCATATAGCGGACTGGCGATTGATTGGACGCGCGAGTACTCAAATGTACTTCCTGCGATTCTACCATCTGCGCAGTGGTGCGAAGGAAAAAGACATGGCGCCGCCAGAAAACATCCCACGTGAGCTTCCGTTTCTGTATCCGAAGGATACCCAGCTGGACCAGCCAGAGCAAGGACCACGATCCGTGGGTCATATAGCTGCATAGGGAAAGGAAATGGTAAGCGATTACATTCCGGGAAAGAGGTTCCGCATGGGCTTGTCGCTATCTTTGCGCTCGGACTTACAGCATGCAATACGGTTTCTTCCAATGCAACTCATTTTGAATGTATGAAGCGGTCTCCGTTTGGACCACGAAGCTAATCAGACTCAGCACCAGGAATCCCGATGCAACCATATATTTCTTGCGGGTTGCCAGGGCAGCGTCGCGTTCCGGACTTTTACTCCGGATTGTCGGCCTTCGTGATTCATGCAGCATGGGCTGGCCTTCTGTGTCATAATTACCGAAGCTCGAGCGCGGGCGGGAGCGAGGACGGTCATCTTTGAGGAGGGGCTGTTGCGAGCGGCCGTCGGTTGGACGGTGTAATGGGGGGCGATTGACAACCATTTCGTCGTCAGAGTCGGAGTCGTGGACTGCGTCCGGGGTTGAGGTCACCCGCGGCTCTGAGAGCTCAAAGCTATCCGAAGCCACAACGGCGATGGTGAGGGAAGGTGCTAGTCGGCCTAACTACCTCGACATGAATACCGCCGTCAGGGGTATTCTTGTCCGATTTACTGTGCCGGCGAGATATAGGTATAAGGAGCCAATGCGTGGACTATTGGAAGGCCACCATCCAGATGATGCAGATAACGAGGGTAGATTTATTTCAGAAAAGGTTACCCATGAAGTCTATTCCACGTGTTCAATAGATGCTGCACAACCTCGGATATGCGACTCGGCACCGATCAGGGATAGTTGTAGCTCGAATAGTGGGTTCAATCCACTGAGTAAGGATTATTGCATCGTATGTAATCAAGGTGCATCAAGAGAGTACTCGGGGTGAAGATGGTCAAGAATCCGATGAGGCGGAACGAAATGACCGCTTTCAGGTGTCATCATCACTGGATCTGACCAGAGCACGTGATCTCGATCGTGGCGCACGCTATGCCGGATTCGAGTTAGCGAATGCATGTCATTCGGTTATTTTTGGATTTGGAGGCAGGCAATGCCCCTGGATTAGACCAGAAGACGTGGTCTGCGAAGACGTTTGCGCTGTGCGATACGGTATTAAGATATATTGCCCTAGTGATGAAGAATCTGACCACGATTGTCAAATGTTTGGTCTTAGTCTATCTCTGATCTTTAAAGCACGATGAAGCTCATTGGGTAGCATCCAAGTTCCTCGAATTCTCATTGGTTCTCACTAACTACTATTCATATAAGGACCTTGTGGAAAATCTTAACATTCCCTTTCCCTTACTTAGGCCCAAACACCGCCTTCTGAGTATCATAAGTATACTTAAGATCCAGATGCCAGTAATTGGGAGAAGTGGCCTTGGCAACCAACCAAGCCTGGTCCAAAGCCTGCACAACCTCTTCTGGGAGCGGTCCCTTCTGGAGATCGGCGAGGTTAGTCTTAAGCTGCTCGAAGCTGCTGACTCCCACCAAGACTCCGTCACGACCGCCATTATCCATTCTCAGAGCAGAGTGATGGCGGACCCAGCGCAAAGCCGTCTCCACAAGTGTCAGACCATGTTTCTCTACGACAGGCTCAATGATACTCAAAGCTTCGAAAGTGGCATCTCTGAAGTAACGTTTGCGATAGTTGGGTCCAGAAGAGCTCGTGTCGCTGTATCTGCCTTCCGCAGGGATATCTTGCGACTTGTATTTTCCGGAGAGAATACCACCAGCCAGCGGGTTGTAGACAACGATGTCAAGACCGTACCGGTGGCAGGCAGGAACGAGTTCAGTCTCGATGTTACGTGCTATCACTCTGTCAGCCATGTGGCCATGACCTAAAATAAAAAGGACACCACCTACTAATAGCGTTATACATGGCCTGGTAAACTGTTGGACGGACCCATCCTCTTTCAGCACAGAGGACGCAAATCTCGGCCACCTCAAAGGCTGTAAAGTTGCTCAGACCAAGCTGTACGAATTTGCCCTCCTTGTGCAGCCGGTTAACGGCCTCCAGAGTTTCAGCGAAAGGAGTGGCACGATCTGCTGCATGCAGATAGAAGATGTCGACCACATCGGTCTGCAACTCTTTCAAAGAAAGCTCCAAATTCTCACGGACGACCTCCGGCTTGTGGAAGCCGGGCTGATTTGGGTACCATTTAGTGGCCAGAGTCAGTCCACGCGACTTCCAGTTCGCCTTGGCCGTGAATGCCTCCTGTTCGCCGCCGATGTAGATACGGGCGGTGTCAACCTCATTGAACCCTTGCTGCTGGAAGTAGTCAAGGCATTTGTTGAACTCATCCAGTGACGTGATACGAGCACCCTTGGCCTCGGTTGGGCCAAAGGTCATCAACCCGAGAATCACTCTCGGCTGGAGCTGCTGTGCGATCAGAGGCATGATGGGAATTGGAATTGGAATTTTCTCTGCGTAGGTGAGGTGTGTTGATGGTAAGATGGCGTGCGAGGACGGCGGGGTTGCTGGGTGGAGTGGTTCTTATACTAGTACTAGAGCCGGAGGGCTAGTTAGTGGCACAATGGATTTGTAAGCCATTTCGATTGATAACCTTGGAACGAATAAATTCCTTGAGAGGGTAGATAAGAAAATTAGCTCGTTCGGCATGTAATAGCCGAAGCCACGAAGCATATTGCATAAATAAGCCATTGACTTTTGGAGAAGTAGCCCGCTAAGCTCCTAGGAGATGGTGGGGTTGTGGAGGGTCCGATAACCGATAACGGAGCTGTTTGCGGTCTCCGCGGACATTTTTTTCCCGGAGAGCAAGGAGTTGTCTTTCCAGCCAAGTGTATTCAGTTCACCTCATTTTTGGAAAAATGAGTCCCGTTCTTGAGCCGCGATATGACGCAAACGAGATCATCCAGCTGGATCCGAGAAAAGGGGAACGGGATTACAGCATATTGATCATCAACCCCAATACCTCAACGCATATGACCGAAGGCCTGAAGCCTATATTGGCTAGCATGAACTACCAAGACGTGCACTTCGAGTACTTCACTGCTCCAGACTCCACCCTGGAGATCGACGGAGTCGAGATCGAGCCAATCGCCAGCATCAATAACGCCGAAGAATCGTGCAAATCGGCATTGAATTGCTGGCCCGTACGGGAGTTTATCGGAAATTACGACGCCTTTCTCGTAGCGTGTTACTCCGCGCATCCCTTCGTCGGCAGACTCAGGGAGGACATCACTGCAAGCGAAGCAACGAGCTCGACGAGAAACAAATATGTCACTGGAATCTTTGAAGCATCTCTCACCGCTGCGCTCTCCTTGGTTAGTGGGTTCACGTTGAGAGATCCAATCAACCCAGCAGAGAGGCTACACAAGTACCAAGGGAAGGGCAGCTTTGGCATCGTCACCACTGGCTCTGCGTGGAAGGAGGAGCTCACCAATGCAGTCCAGGGAGCGCTGGGTTACGACTTCGAGGACGGGAGCTCTATACACTTTGCGGGCGTTGAGACCACTGGCCTGACAGCCGTTGAGCTGCACACCACGGAGCCGGAGGAGGTGCGTCGGCGGATCATCGATGCCACCCGCAATCTGCTTCGCAACTCGGAATCTCATGTCAAGGTTGTGTGTCTGGGCTGTGCTGGTATGGCTGGCATGGAGGAAGCGGTACGGGAGGGCTGTACTCAGGAATACGGAGATACAGAAGGCAAACGTGTACGGATTGTCGACGGGGTGGTTGCCGGTGCTGGCAACCTCATCACAGCATTGAAGGCAGGATTCTAGTAGTCCAGGGCAACGGTTGGCCAAGTAGACCACTTGGGGAAGACGGTTATATCAAAATTTTAGCATAGCTGGGCGGACTAAAAAGCATTTATATCTCGGATTAATCAACTCTCATTCTTGCGCGAATTTATTTCTAGGCCTTTGTAACTTTGTTGATGTCCACATAAGGTGGCAAGAGCTTCTGCCTGAGGCGACAATACCGGCCAAAAAGTTCCCCGCGTGGACGCGATACGCGTTAACGAGCAGCAACACTCGACGGCTTCTGTGAAGAAAAGATGCCAAGGTTTGTTCATTCTTCCGAGTCAAGCATAATTGAGGGCTCTTTCTCCAGCTTGAATACCGATGCTGATATTGTTGCCAATTGCAGAGAAATCATCACAATTCAAGCCGGCCAGTGCGGCAACAACGGTATGTGGCTCAACTCTGCGATCCATTCCACGACCGTTGATCTAGTTATTTTAAACAGAGCACGAGAAGATATAGTTCACGTCTAACATTCGTTCTATCTAGTCGGCAGCCAGTTCTGGCAACAGCTGTGCCAGGAGCACGGGATCAGCGCAGATGGAAACCTGGAGGAGCATGCGACTGACGGGGCGGCCGGTGATCGCAAGGATGTCTTCTTCTATCAGGTGTGTATAGAAAGCTTGGGAGGCAAATTATAGGCTTGTTGGATAGCAAGAACACTAGCTAACAGATGGCAGAGTGACGACACTAGGTACATCCCTCGAGCGATTCTCCTCGACTTAGAACCCAGGGTAGGCCATCCTCACCGATATATCAAATCGACCACGATGATTAACGCATAGATTGTTCCAGGTCCTCAACGCTATCCAGACTGGCCCCTACAAGAATATCTACAACCCCGAGAACTTCTTCGTCGGACAACAAGGTATCGGAGCTGGAAACAATTGGGGTACCGGATATGCTGCAGGCGAGGGCGTGCAAGAGGAGATTTTCGATATGATCGACCGTGAAGCAGACGGAAGTGACTCACTAGAGGGCTTTATGCTTCTACATTCGATCGCAGGAGGAACAGGCTCTGGACTGGGCAGTTTCATCCTAGAACGCATGAACGATCGATTCCCGAAGAAACTCATTCAAACCTACTCTGTGTTCCCGGACACGCAATCCGATGTCGTCGTCAACCCTTACAACAGTTTGCTGGCCATGCGCCGATTGACCCAGGATGCCGACTCCGTGGTCGTCCTGGACAATGGCGCTCTTTCACGAATTGTCGCTGATCGGCTGCACGTCCAAGAGCCCTCGTTCCACCAAACCAACCAGCTCGTTTCTACGGTGATGTCTGCATCTACAACCACGCTCCGATACCCCGGATACATGCACAACGATCTCGCCGGGATCATCGCCTCGCTCATTCCCACACCACGAAGCCACTTCCTTCTCACATCATACACACCGTTCACGGGCGCCAACATCGAACAAGCTAGGACGGTGCGAAAGACCACCGTCCTAGACGTTATGCGCCGTCTTCTACAGCCTAAGAACCGCATGGTCTCGGTCAACCCCAGCAAGTCCAGCTGCTACATCAGCATCCTCAACATCATCCAGGGCGAAGCCGACCCGACCGACGTGCACAAGTCCCTACTGCGCATCCGGGAGCGTCGCCTCGCTACCTTCATCCCCTGGGGCCCTGCCAGTATCCAGGTGGCTCTCACGAAGAAATCGCCGTATATTGAGGAAACCGGACATCGCGTCAGCGGGCTGATGCTGGCCAACCACACCTCTGTCGCGACGCTTTTCAAGCGCATTGTGAAGCACTACGACATGCTCCGCAAGCGAAATGCGTTCTTGGATTCCTACAAGAAGGAAGCTCCGTTCGCTGACGGACTTGGCGAATTTGACGAGGCACGGGCGGTTGTGATGGATCTGATCGGCGAGTACGAGGCAGCGGAGCGAGAGGACTACTTGGACCCGGATGCAGGCAAGGCAAACGAGCTCGGAGTCTGATATGAGATATGCGATATGCGATATGCGATGCTGCGATTTCATTCCTCGCCCTTCTTTTCCTTTTTTCCGTTTTTCCGTTTTTACCTTTCACGATTTGGGCCGGGCAAGGGGGTTTGAGCGTATCATCGGCGTCTGCGCCGGCGTCCACGGGTTTTTGATTCACATTTACGTTTCCCTTTTCTTTTTCCCTTGTCCAACCTTACCAGTGGATAAATATCATGAAACCAATCCCGCTGCACGCTAGTCGCTATTTTAAATTGACCATGACCACGTAGGCCGTGGCCCGTGTAGAGGGTGTCAACGTGGTAGGATTCTGATTTGTACCGTCTAGCGTGTTATCAGCGAGGGATCCGTGAGCAGATACGGCGTAGCGTCCTGCTACGTCGAGCGATGGTGGGGAGATGTGGAGAGGAGAGGAGACGGTGAAATTGGGTAGCGGGATCGGCCCTCACTTTAGGCCTAAACCGGGAAATGTACGGAGTATACGGAGTAGTTATAGGGCATCACCTCCTCTCTTAGTCTCACCTACTCCGAACCTACTCCATACCTCTGCATATGCTGTTACGGAGTACCGATGCTGGTTATGCAATAGCTTCACGCGGATCATCCGTCGTACCTAGGCCGGGCTTGGCTCAGACGACTCGTCTATTTTATCTCGAGGTCATAGCTCTTTTGGTCGACTTGCATGGTTTTTTTGTTTGCATTGCATTGAGTAGTAGTGGCAGTGGCATCGTTAGGCACTGGTTCTTATATTCGGGATGATATAGTTAGTAATGGAGGTGCCTGGAGTACCATAGTCGGAGAAGTCTGGGTGAACACCTTGCCACTCTGGTGGCGCAAACAGGATCTGAGATTGAATCGGTTGAGTTGAGACTTTCTATATTAGTTTGCGACACCTGACTGGACTATCACGTGAAAGGCGCCCTTGGATGCACGGGCAATTCCACATTCCGATCATTGGGCCCGAGACCAGGCGCCTGGGTGATACGTCCGCGTGGGATGCAGAGGAATTTGGTAAAGTCAAAGAAAGGAAAAGGAAAAAAAGAAAAAGAAAAAAGAAAGAAGAAGAAAGGAGAAGATCAATATTGAATATTTTAAACCTTTGTAACTGTATACTCCGTAGATAGGCTATAGTTCAATCACCTCATGTACTAAATAACCGCTAACCTCCAATTCTAATATCAAATCCAATTAATTCGAAATAATCGATTGAAATCCCCAATCCACTAAAACCACTAAAACCCACCCGAATCCACTTGGGAATCCCCAAATCGCCAACAACAGAACTTTAGAACTCCACTCGTTGATTCCGTCACTGTCGCCTCACTGAGTCAGCCCCCGTCTCTGGTTCGAACCTTGGAAGTCGGTTTCTTTGGCTTTCTCCCGTGTCTTCCGATTTACCCTATATATAGGCTGGTCGTGCTGGCCCATCTTTCCCTCCCTCCCCCTTTTACTACTTTCTTCGACAGAGTCTCTCCTCCCCCGCTCGCCTCCGCACTTGAAACCGGCGCTTATCTCAAACCTTCTCCCCAGCGTCTCGCCTTCGCTACTTCTCCTATTTATCTCTCTCTCCTTCGCGAAAGGACATTCAACCGCTCTAAACCGCTCTATCTACCCCAACACTCCCAACCACAATGCCTCCCCGCAAGCCCCGTTGCAACTTCAAGGAGTGCAAGGAAGCCGCCCAGCGCATCGTCGGCGACTGCAGCTTCTGTACCGGCCACTTCTGCTCCAAGCACCGCATGCTAGAAGCCCACTCCTGCACCGGCCTGGAAGACTGCAAGAAAGAATCACACGCTCGAAATGCCGACAAGCTGAACAGCGAACGCACCGTCGTTGTCAAGGGCGTATGAGACACCACAATCAGAAATGAGAAATAGCCGATCCTTTCGTCGCTTTTCTCTCGGCTGGAAGGACAAAGGGGGGCGCGGATGGCGCCATTATTCTTAAGGATCGCCCGCCTAGTCTATGGAGGCTCGGACCCATCTCGCCTCCTCTTTCCCCCCTATCTGTTCTTATCTGCCTCCGGCCGATCAGGTGGTATCCCTGCTAGCCTTGGCTTGGTTTCGATTTGGTCCCATTTGATCCGGTTCTTCCCTTTCTTGTGCGCCTCTGCGGTGATCTTGGATTTAGCGCGGTGTTTCTTTTTCCTCTTCCCTGATTCGATTCTTGGGGATTGGTCTCCTCTTTTATTTTGTTCGGTTATTCGTGATCTATATCTAGATCGGATTCGGTTTTTGGCCGCGGCTTATTTTGGGTTGAGCCTTTGCGGGATTCATTTGCATGGCGTTGTGCTTGGTGTTGACATCTTTTCTTTGATCTTTTGATATTTATCATTTATTTATTCTTTCGCATTTTGGGCACATCTCTTCACTTTTCGGGGACTGCTAAATAGAGCTCTTTTGGGTCATTTTAGCCATGAACTATACATATTATTGAATCTTGACCCCCTTATTATCACATGATATACGGAGTATACTCCAGTGGAGTACCTTGGGTTATGGATCATCACTGAAACACGGCAGCCTTACGGAGTACAGTTGGACAGAATGTATTGAATAGTACAAATATGGTATTCTTGAATAACAGATTGATCGCATCGAAACCCATGTGAAACCGTATAACCATTTAGCCTGGTCCAATCTTCGGCCTATGTAAAATGTCAGCTTATCCAAATAACAAAGGTAGAAAGACCAAGACATACATATCATGATGCTCACTCAGCCGACTAAGATACTTATTCAACTCCTCCACACGCTCCTTATGAGTTTTGACACCTTCGCGCTGAAGCCGCTCATGCAACTGTCCCAAAAAGTCAGTTTCCCTGTACAACAAAGCCGAAGTAGAAAGAGCGCAAGCCCAACAAAAAGACAAAACAAAAGGACAACAGAACATACCCGTTTGCGCCTAACCTCCTCAGCCCTCTTCTCGGCCTCAGTCTTCCCAGGCGCATCCCTCTCCCTCTCTCTATCCTCCTCAGACCTCACGCCCTCCTCCGTTTCATTTTCCGGCCGCTTCGTATCTGGCGTCGACTCCGGCTTAGGCGCAGTCGCTTCCCCCTCCTTTTTCTTCCCGCTCTTCTTCTTTTTCTTCTCTATCCGCCCTCCGCTGACTTTACTCCCCTTCAGCTTGAGCTTGCCCCCGCCGACGGAGTACTCGTCGCCCGCCATGCTTGCGGTGCTGGGCTCTGGGATGCAATGCAGTAGGTCGCGACTATTCAAGCTACCTCCTTTCCGTGTGGCGTGCCGCTTGTAGAGGTGTTGGGTCCAGGGGAGATGGGCGTGTGCGGCGTGCGCGGCGTGCGGAGTAAGAGGTGGGGAGTGGGCGATCGGTTTTGTGTGTTGGCGTGGATATGAGGGGTTTGCTTCTTTTTTTGAGATTGCAGTGCGATGTTCGACTGAGTGGATTGTAATATTTGGCTTGGGTGTGTTGTTGGTTGAAAATGTAGGTTCTCGATGTTCTTCTGTTGCGGTTTGGGAATTCGGCCAATCAGAGGCGGTGGCGAGTTGAATACAACTACATATCAAGATGGATATACTATGCGCTCATTCTGAGGTAACTCCGATTCATTTAATAGACCTTTTTTCTCATCTTTATCTACTTTTTCTTCTAAACACTCGTAGGAAATAAATACTGAAAGAAATAATTCATAATGGCTGGATCTCAATGGGAAAGTGATGTGGAGCGCTTTCTGGACAACCTGCCTCCTTCGACAAACAAATACACCTATAAAGGGAAAGAGCAATTCGATCAAATCCTACAAAATGAAAATCACCGCCTGCACAAATTACCCCCTCGTCAACCACTCGGGTCCGAAATCTCAGACTACTTCGTTATTTTCATCGATCCATCAACCTTCGAGCAAGACTTTCTGCTCTCTGATCTACTCGCTGGTACCAGTTTATTCTACAACGCGGCCTTGCACGCCCTGATCCTCAGAATGTCCACCCCCGAACATGCTCAAGTCTCCTATGGACTGCAAACCGAATTCACAAAAATCTTGCTACCTATGGGACTCTGTGATGCAGTTGAAGGATTCGGTAACGTGAATGTCAACGTCGGCGGCGGAAACGTGAAGCGGCCAGACTGGGGCTGGGGCCCACTTCGGCCCCCTCGTGGTGCCCCCAGACGACCCGGGGTGGTCCTCGAGGTCGGTGTTTCCGAGACTGAAACCAAATTGCGCGACGACGCAAGAATGTGGGTCGACCCCCTCAGAGGCCAAGCGAACATGGCCATCACTATCAAAGTCAGTCGGGAGAAACCAGAGCTCAACATTGATACGTGGGAATGGGACTCCGGTGCTCAATGTTCACTTGTCACTCAATCCTGTGTGATTGGAAAGACTGGCGACAAGGTCATAGTCTCACAGTACCCGATCACGATTCCATTCGACTACATGTTTCAACGGGACCCTCAGCTTCCCAGAGAGACTGATATTCGGCTAGAGGAAGAGAACCTCATTAACTTGGCAACTTATGTTTGGGATACGCAGGATCTATGATTGGCATGAGGAAACTGGAGGAGCAGGGCAAGGGATGCATCCAGTGTGTGGAGAACAGATGATATGCTGAAATAGCGATATTCCTAATGCAGTGTTTTCTATGAGAGTAAGGTGAGAGTAAGGTGAGAGTAAGGTGAGAGTAAGGTGAGAGTAAGGTGAGAGTAAGGTGAGAGTAAGGTGAGAGTAAGGTGAGAGTAAGGTGAGAATAAAGTGAGAGTGAAATGAGATGGAGATGTCTGTAGACATGGTGACTTATGTATTCGCGAGAAGGATATGATTGCTGAGAGGAAACATGTCATTGATTCGTGGAAGGAAGTGGATGAGCCGGTTTATGGTATACTCCCAGCGAGTGTTACAATAGTCTTTTTATTACGACAACTCTCTTGCAGAGCAAAATTAGCGGAGACTCAAGAGGTTGATGAGTCTATACCAACCGTGGTGGCTAACTAGATGTTGATAAGATCAAGAAACTCCAAAGTGTATTTACCATGCTAAACAACCTGACCCATCTGCTTCAATGTTGAATATGTTGAATCCAAGCACTTCATCCAATTGATCTAATTTAGAGTTTCGAATCGCTCAAAGATCGATGCCCAAATACCACCCTAGACGGCAATTCAACACCCCAAGCAATCTTACAATCCAACCGCGTATGCTCATCACTCCCGGAAGCCGAATCAAAGGCCTGATACGGCTTGACAATATCCCGGTAGACAAACTCACCCACACCACCCTCACCCAACAGAATCCATCTGCGAGCAATTTCCATCGCGGCCTCATCCCCATCCCGTTCCGCATCCAAAGCCAACAGAGCCCCAGCAAGAATCCAGCCAAAGGTAAACATAACCCTGCGAGCATCAGCCAGTAACGCAACCAGCGGACGAACAGACGTCACGCGAGAAAGGAAGGAAGCCAGAGCCTGCTTCAATGCACCCGCGAGAGACGACGTGCGGATCAAAGACAACACGCGACTGAGCCACCCCGACAAAACAGACAGGTTATCCTTTTTCATCAGGAAGCGGACGAGTTCGCTAGCCAGGACATTCGTCGTACCCTCCCAGATCGGATACACGGCTGCACTGCGGAGGAGGCGCGAGATGTTGAACTCAGGCTCGTCTGGTTCGTCGATGTATCCAACCCCACCCATCGCTTCCTGGCACTCTTGGACACCTACCATCGACATCTTGCTGACAACCCCTTTGCATGTGGCGGTCAGGACGCGGAAGATGACTTTTGCTTCGTTGAGATCCTGAGGCATGTGTGCATGTCTTGCGGAGCTGGAAGAATTTTCAATCAGGCCCATCACGGCAATTGTGAAGAAAGTGAGATTTATAGCGCCGCGGTGCTTTACCTCGACGTCCGCAAGGAGACGCAAATGCATCGGAATCAACCACAATGGCTCGCCGACGGTAGTCCGTGACTTAGCGAAATTCTTCGTAATGCTAATCGCACGACGCCAGGTTGATAATGTTCCAAGAAGCGTCTGGATACGGGTGGTATTCAATAGTGGTGCAATGGTCACAATGCCCTGATCGATTTCACCGACTAGGTGAGCGCGCATGCCCTTCAGTTCCAGTTCAGCCGTGGGTAATTCCTTAGTACCAAGCTTGTTCTTCAGGCGGTGGATGCGCACGCCATTGGATACTTCTTCTGGCTTTCCATCCGCTCCGATGGATGTCTTCCGTAATGGCGCGATAAATGTGCTCAGTTTGCCGGAACCTGTCTTGGCTAAGAGAAAAGCGACGTTGGCGTCTGTCGCGGAGGAAAAGAACTTAAATCCGCTGATCAGGTAATCGCCCTCGGCGAGGACGTCGGATGTTTTCGATGCTTGTGGTAAGGGTGCGTAGGTTGCCCATGTCTCTGTGTTTTGAACGTCGCTGCCGCCTGCTCGTTCCGTCATCCATTGGCCGGATGTCCAGTAGTCGTCTCCTCTGGAGGTCAGTTTCCAAAATACAGTGTGCAGAATATGGTCATTCGGCAGATCTTTGAGACGCTGTGATAATATAAATGCCGCTCCATCGGACATACTCATCGGACATCTGTACATGGACGACGAGGGGGCGTATATATACACTCTTTGATCCAGTAGTTAGTAGTCGTTCATGAACAACACAAGGAAGTATAACATACGCAGCATATTGAACAGTACGTCTATGAACACCGTAAGTGTGGTCATATCCCAGCGAAACAACCCTAAACATTCCGCATTAGCGTCAAATTGTACCAAGAAAGAGAACGACTAACCCATGCTTAGCACCCCATTTTCCTAACTGCTTCCACCCATCAGTCGTAACCAGCTTGTCATAGCCATACCGCTGGCCCCAGACATTGTACTTCTTGACATATGGCAGGTTGGTCTCTGCATCGGCGTTCCATGCAAAGACTTGGGACGAAACAGCCTCCTCGCCAAATTGAGCGAGGTGAGGTTCAACTAACTTAAGGGTCTCGGCAGGAAGGTACCCTATTTATTGTCCTTAGGTTAGATTGAATAAAGGTGGTACCTGCGCTGGACTTACATCCTAGCATTCGTTGCAGGCTGATGTCGGAAGTGTATGTATTCGGCAATGTCCCAAGCTGGGTGAATGTTCCAGACTCTGCGGATGCAGGAACTCGAGACTGGGTAGACATGTTTTTGATGTAGATAAATGTGAGAGCTGTTCGAGGATTATTGATACGTTAGACAGAAATGGGGTTATATAACGGGTTGGTTCAACCGCGGTCTATTGAATAACCGAGTGCTTGTTTCCGATCATAGTTCTTGTAGCCCGTGAAATCACCGAGAGGTGAAGTTGATGGATGTCGACTACATCTGTTGATCAAGTCCGCAAAATCGCCGAGACGAGCAGTTCGTGGTCTATAGATCTCTGTGCGGGGAAGCTTTTGCATTGCCGAGTCTGGGGTTATGCTAAACTTCAAAGGTAGACTAGTAACACCAATAACTTAGAATGATGGTAAACATACGGCAGTAAGTAGGACTAGAAGAAAATTACTTGATTAACTGAAGCATATGGAGATTATCAGTTTTGTCATTTTCTAATATGCTAGTCATCTTGATTCATTATTTTGTTGGCATGCCAACTTCCAACTTCCCATCGGCGACCTTAATCGAAAGGAATTGGGCGCAGGTCCGATCCGCCGCCCATACGCTTACGCATCTCAGCGCCCGCAGCCACGGTACTGGGTACCTTGATACCGCAGCAATCACCGAACCAGTCTGAACTCTCGTGAGGATGGTCGTGGCCATGGGCGTGCTCGTGCTCAGCATCTCTCTCAGAAGAATCGGTCATGCCTTCGGCAGCAGGTATAAGACTTCCAAACAAGAAATGTTGCATAATAGGAAGTTTTCCCAGCACTTCCTTAACGAACATCTTCTTCATGCCGCTCTCAACCTTGGTCCAATTCTTAGAACCGGAGATATCGTCCAGCATTGGGCTATGCCAACGCAGTCCCTTCACCAATTTGACACTCTCAACCCATCGGACCTGATCCAGATAGAGATAGTTATCACCCTCTTCATCCAAAGTAGCTGTGTTATGAATACTCAGCGGAGTAATATACGGGTGCCCGACAAGCTGGCTAGCTCCGAACAAGAACGGCAGGAAATGGTAGTCATCCAGACCCCAGACACCGTGCGATCCAGCAGGCTCAAGGTAGTAAGCTGACTGGATCTCGCGCATGAGATGCATGTACTCGACATAGACCTTGATCACGATAGCGGGGAAGTCGCTGGCGGGGAGAAGACCAAGCTGGTACAGGCATAGCAGCCACATCATGAAGTTGAGTTCGTGGCCGGAGCCGTAGTCAATCCGCTCCCGTGAGCCCAGGCAGTGGATTAAATATGTCGAAGCTTCTTCAATTGCGCCAGAGTCTTTCAACCCCAGAATGTTGGTGTGCCATGATGCGCTCTGGGCGCTTACATCGTCGCACAATGCTCGGAAGGCGGGGTTGCCGAATCGGGATCCACCCTGGTCAATTGGCGGGTTTTTGGCTAGGAGGGCGCGTATTTGAGTGATGACTGAGAGGACCTTGGAGATGGATTCGGATTGAGGTTTTTTCTGGAGGTCCGGGATAGAATGCCCCCGCACAGAATCAGTTAGCCCGAATATGAAGGCGAGGACAAGTTTATAGGTCGGCGATGCGAGGAAGAGCTCATGGTCTTTAGGAGATAGGATGCGGCGGATTGGTTGCTGGTACTGGTGGCCGGAGAGGTCGGGCGGCGAAGGCAGAGGAGGGGTTGCTGGAGTCAGATCTCGGGAACTGGAGTTTCCCCTTCGGCTATTTGACCGTAACTCAGAGAGCCTTTTGGAGAGATCGACCTTCCCCGTAGGAGATGGTAAAGGTGCCTGTGACGCCATTGTGTTGGTTGAGTGAGGGGAGCGGAAATCGATAAGTCGATAAGTTGATAAAGGGATGAAGCAGGACTGACCGCCTGCCTTAAACAGAGGATGACGCACTTTACCAGACGGGTAAGATAATGAGGTGTTAGCTTGTAAAATAAGATATGAAGATCAGAGTAAATGGTTGACTAGAAGTAAATATCTACATTGGATGTCCATATCAACATGTCAAGTTTGACAAGTTGCATCGACACTTCGGATTAAGGGTTCACCCAGGTGGCTTAGGGTGGAGCATGTGATCGCTTCCCCGGATTGGTCACGTGGATGGGAGATCATCACTTTGCGTGCTGTTGCTCAAAGTGACATTATACTTGATGCAATTGGAGAAGAGAGCAGAAAAAGGAAATGCAGATAGTAAGAGTCCAACATACCAGACACAACTATTGTTCTCCATCACCGTGACCATCTTGTCTCAAACAGCAACTTTTCATCCTCTATTGACATAGACGAACCGGCGCTTCAGACCTGCATAAACTCGGTCCCTGGCGATCGTGGATTGCACAATACTCTCTCCAGTGACATACAAACACGCGGACAGGCATAATGAATACATCCGACTCATTGGCGCCGCCTCCGAGAGGCTCCAGCACCTCTGGAGGAGCCAAAAACAGCCACTCATCGTCACGCTCGCCCACAGATTCAGCTCTGTCATCCTCCTCCAGCAGCACCCGGTCCCACTCAAGCTCCTCGACCCGAAACCACGAGCGTAACCAGAACCCACCTCAGACATCATACCAATCCACCGAATCCACCCCAATCAACACAGCCGGTCCCGCGGGGCGCAACTATCAGTCCACAGAGCAAGCAGACGCCTCCCAGCTCAAATACCAATTAAACAACGCGAACCCTGGCAATGCCAACCAATCAACCGCCCAAGACTCGACCCCCGAGCCCCATCAGTCCTGGTATAGTCGATTCGCAGATCGATACGGCAGTCTCGAGCTAGAGAACAAAGGCAGTGTGGCCCGCGACCACCTCGCATTAGGTACAATATGCATACGCAGCCTATATTAAAAACATGCATAGACACCCCTAACACCCACTCCCTTTCCAACAGAACGAACCTTCCTAGCCTGGATGCGCACCTCCCTAGCCTTCGCCTCAATCGGCATCGCAGTAACGCAACTCTTCCGCCTGAACAGCGCCTCCACAAATACAAAAACCAACTTCTTCGACCCAGCATCCGGCTCACACGCAGGCATCCTCCCACCGTACCTCGACTCGTCAGGCTACGATTCAGCCGACTTCCACACCTCCTCTGCAACCGCCCGTCTTCGTAGCGTGGGTAAACCCCTCGGCTCCACTTTCATCGGCGTCTCGATCCTTATCCTTATGATTGGCTTCCACCGCTACTTCCAGAGTCAGTATTGGATTATTCGCGGGAAGTTCCCGGCTAGTCGGGGTAGTGTGGCACTTACGGCTTTTGTGGCTGCTTCGCTGATTATTGCTACTCTTGCGGTTATCTTGGCGGTTTCGCCAGGGGCCGTTGAGAATTAGTTTGGGGTTGGTTGTCGTCTGGTCTTCGTTTCTCTCTTTTTTTCTCTCTTTGTGTTACTCCTTCTGGTGTGATAGTCCTCATTTGTTTTGTCGCGTTTTGCGTGCAGCATTTTGCATTTTCGAATATATTGAGTTGATATATTCATTTCTACCCGGGAATATGGGTAGCCATTTTCTGGCAGAGGAGAGAAGCAGGTACATATGGGTATGACTTTGTCTTGGTTATACTGTTGTTGACCATAGATTGTATGCAACTATGATCATAAGTCCCACCATAGTTACTTCATACGTAGAGAACCTACAAAGCTGGCATACAACGAAAAGCCGATAGAAATATTTCGTTCTTTTCTATCATGAACGCCCTGAATCCACCCGCGCCAGACCAGTCTAGGCACAATGTAGGAAGCAGGCGAAGAGACAGGGGAAACTACAAGATGGACAGGAGTGTATCGACAATGGTGGGGGGAAGGTGGAGGCAAAGAAGGAAACGAGAATAGGGAAAAAAGACCCGGGCAACATGGCTTGCAAACAATGCGAAGCAGGAAATCAGAGAAAAAAGGAGCAGACCAGGAACCGCCTAAATAAAATCCATTCATCGCGGGCCGAGCTTGTCCAGGGCGCGTGCACCCTGTTCCGCCCACTCCTGCTTGCTCACCCACATGTCGTCCTTGTCGGCAATCTGAGGACAATTGTGTTAGCAGGGCCGAGTCAAAATGAAAAGAAAGGAGACTAACCAAGTTGGCGAGCACGGCACCACCCAGGAACACCATGTGTCTCCGACGCGGGGGATCTTCGATGCGGACCTTGAATTTCTGCAAAATCATTAGCCATGTTATATTGATAATTGCCGGGTTCTCTTCGACGTACGTTCAGACGCTCTGGGTCGCCGCCCAATACCCGGGTGAGCCAGAGCTGCTTCAACTCCTTCTCCAAACGAGAGGGCAGACCAGGGTACATGCTGCTACCACCGCTGAGCACGATGGCCTTGTATAGACTCGAGCGAACATCGACATCGGCACCCTGGATACAGTTGAAGAGCATTTCAGCCATACCAGGCTGGTCAACATCGACCAAGTGTGGCTGGAACAGGCACTCGGGGGCCTCGAAGCGCTCGCTGCCGACGCGAATGACACGGCCGTCGGGCAGGGTGTACGATTCGACGAGAACGGTGGTGTCTTCGGAAAGCTTTTTGTCCAATTCGAGGTCGTAGGAGACATAAGCGAGCTTCTCCTTGATCTGGCGGACGGTCTCGAAGTCGGCGGTTCGGTTCAGCGCATAGCCGCGGCGTAGAAGGAGGGCAATCAGGTTGCGAGTGACATCGCGGCCGGCGACATCAAGGCGGCGAATGTGGTGGTTGAGTACGGTCGACTCGTACACGGGGATAATGTGTGTCACACCGTCACCGGAATCCACAACCACGCCGCTGCTCAGACCTAAAACATGACATCAGTGTTGGTCTTCAACTGACACTGTGGTCTTGATCACATACCCTGGGCATACAGTGCCAGCACCGCCTGGATCGCCACATATACACCACCAAACCCGTATCCTTCTAACATCACCTCGGCCATTTTCTCGCGGTTCTTGAGCGGGTTCATGGGTGGCTCCGTGAGGAGAATCTTGCGATCCGTGGGGTCGATCTTCATCTTCTCGTAAAAGGTGTAGTTCCATAGATGTTGCATGTCATCCCATTTCTTGACAATTCCATTCTCCATCTAAAGCAGCGCGGGTTAGGCATTGACAACACGACTAGTTTGC